GGTTTTATTTGTCATGAACCAGGAATCGATTTTTAGTTCTTCCTTTAGCCTCTTCGTTAATGGGCTATCAGGTTCAGTTGATTTTGCCTGTGATGGCCCCCCTGTTGTTACTCTGGTTGCGGAATAATGGAGTTCACAATCTCCTCTTTTCTGGTTTTGTATTGGGGCAATCAGGACAGGGCATCAGCTAGGAAATTTTCCCCTCCTGGAATGTATTTTAGTGTATAGTTGAAACAGTTAAAATACTGCACCCACTGAACTTTTTTAGGAGATAACTTATGGGGGGGGGATTTCAGTGCCTCTAGATTTTTTTGATCAGTCCATACTTCAAAAAGTAAGTCGCTCCCTTCAAGGAAGTGACGCCACGTAAGCAGAGTCCACCTCACCACGTAAGCCTCTTTCTCCCAGACCGCTCATCTCTGTTCAGTGTCCGTTACCTTTTTGGAGGTATAGGTGCAGGGCTGTAAATCCCCATTCTCGTTCTTTTGCGAGAGAATGGCTCCTATAGCCACATTGCTGACATCAGCTTGGATGATGAATTGTTTCTCAGGACTGGGATGTTTGAGAATGGGTTCTGCTGCAAACAGTCTTTTCAAGTTCTCAAAAGCATTCAATAGACCATGGCATTCAATAGACCATGACGGGCTGGCAGGATCCTGGCTTCCCCCCATTCCTCCCCATCTTTAACAGTTCCATAATTGGCAGAGCAATCTCAGCAAAAGAGGGGATAAATTGCCGGTAGAAGTTTGTGAATCTCAAAAAACTCTGGAGTTGCTTATGGACTCGCGGGGGCTGCCATTCTAGCACAGCTTTCACCTTAGCTGGATCCATCTCAATGCCTTCACTGGAAATTCTGTATTCTTACGTAATCCAGGTATGTCTGATAGAACTCACATTTTGAGAGCTTGGTGTAAAGTTTAGCGCTCAGCAATTTTCTGAACACTTCACGCACTAATTTGACCTGCTCCGCCATTGTTTCTGTGTAGATGAGGATGTCATCAAGATAAACTAAAAACCCCTTGTACAGATGACTATACAATACTTGATTTATCAATTGCATGAAGACCGCAGGGGCCCCCTGCAGTCTGAAAGGCATAACATTGAACTGGAAGCTCCCCAAGGAGCTGTTAAAAGCAGTTTTCCACTCGTCTCCTTTCTTGATCCTTACTCGTTAGTACGCCTCTCTTAGGTCTAATTTGGTAAAAACTTTTCCTTTTGCTAAATGGGCTAACATGTCCTTCATCAAGGGGAGGGGGTACATGTTCTCCACGCTGACACAATTTAACCCTTTATAATCGACGCACAGCCTCATCGACCCATCTTTTTTTTCCTTAAAGAGCACTGGGGCAGCTACCTGGGATTTTGTTGGCTGGATGAATCCTCTGGCTAAGTTCTTATCAATGTATGTTCTCAGTTCTTTCAGTTCATGGGGGATCATTGAGTACATTTTTGGCTTAGGTAATTTGGCCCCTGGTAAAATTTCGATAGCACAGTCAATGGTTCGGTGGGGAGATAGGACATCACATTCTGCCTCACTGAATGCTTCTGCTAAGTCTCTATATTCACTTGGGATGATAGGCTCTCCCAGCGGAGAACCCACAGCATTCAAGGTTTCTAGAGGCTGCCCTTGGCTCTCAACTGGGCTATTGATTGGGGTAGGAGGTGACGGTCCAGTTTCTAATCTTAAAGTCCTCCCTCCATTGTTCCACCAGATCATGGTGTGCCATTTGTCAAGCCAAGCCAACCCCAGGATCACTGCTTCTGTCATGTTTGGGATCACCACAAAACGGATTAGCTCCCAATGCTCCCCTATTTCTAGGTGCACTAGTTCAGTTAGGTGGGTAGTTGGGGCTCCTCCTATGAGAGATCCATCGGCCTGCTTGAATCTCATGGGCAAGGGTAGCAATTTTGCCCTAATGCGTAGTTTTAGTACAGTAGGGAGGTTGATCAAGGGTGCATCCCAAATCAACTAAAATGTTCAAATCCATTTGAGCCCCTGTCTTAGGCACCAGTAGTTTAGCAGAAAGAGCAAAAGGTGGGATAGGCTGACTCACCATCGGGTTATCTTCCCCTGCGTCATCGCTGTCATATGGATCGGCTGCGGGCAGGCATTCAGCTGATTCTTCTTGCTTCTCCTTTGGAGGAGAGGTGATTTGTACAACTTGCTCCTTTCTGACCCAATTCGACTTCTCTCGCGCTGGTCGAGGTTGTCTCTTAGGCTTTGTGGGAGCTGCGGTCGCACTTTTCGGTGGAGGGAAAAGAACCGGGCAATCTGCAATTCGATGCCCAAGTTGCCCACACCGAAGCACTTGATCTGAGATCCAACGAGAGCTCGAACGGATCTCGCCTTGGTTGAGGTCCAGAAGCTGCAGGCTTATGGTACCATGTCAGCTCGATATCCAAATTCGTAGCCAAAAGGTCTCAATCATGGAGTTGATCAGGATTCCCCCTGCAGATGCACGTCTGGAATAGATTATGATCCAATCCTGCTTTGAAGTAGTGGATCAATGACTGTTCAGGCCACTGCCTATTCTGTCCTGTCACTCTTCGAAACTCCCTCACATACTCTCTCACAGGCCGATCTCTCTGCTTCACATCGTGGATGTCCTTTTCAGCTTGTATCGCCTGGGATTCATCTTCAAATCTGGCCCTCAGCCCATGTGTGAATAGATCGAAATTCCATAGCTCTGGTGCCTGCTCCTCTCTGGTGCCTGATCCTCACTCTGCAACCTCCCCTTCCAAGATTGCAGCTACAGTATCAATCATCTTGGCTTCGTCTAAATAGGCCCAGTCATAACAATTCACATGAGACCACACCTGGTTCAGGAAAATAGTAATCTTCTCGGGGTCTCCATTGAAAGTGGCCTTGAGGGGAGGTGGATCTGCTGGTCAGCGATCCCAGAGAGCCTGTAGCAAGCCAGGCAATTGTGATTGGGGCTGCTGAAATCCCCCCTGATGGAAACCCCCTAGCGGAGGTCTTGGGATGGCAGAGTGCCGATGATGGTCAGGACTGGCATGATACCGATAGGGATCAGGATCAGCTGGGCATTGGTGGTGATCTGGGTTGACCGGGCACCATTGGCGCTCGGGGCTGGCGTAGCACTGATAGAGGTCAGGGCTGGCGTAGCACCGATAGAGGTCAGGGCTTACTGGGCACCGGTAGCGATCAGGGCTAGGAGAACAGCGGCGTTGAACTGGGCTAGCAGGACGCCTGCATCAATTGGGGCTGGCAGACTGCCGGTTGTATTTGGGACTAACCTGTTGTTGAGGTTGATCCGGACTGGTGTGGCGCCGATAGCAGTCAGGGCTCCGCCAGTGCACTGGGCTCGACATCAGGTCAGGCTTTGCAGTGTAGAGGCATCCCGCTCAGTCACTATAGGACTGGGACTTCGCCAGGGTGGTGGAGGCTCACGCGACCACTTTTCTTCTCACCCCTGAGATCATCTGGCGGATCGCCTGTCCTCCTTCACCCATCTCCAACTGGTCAAACTTCTCCCTCAGACTTTCTACCGAGTGGATTGCAGTCAGGTACTTCAACTCCCCGGATTCGTCCCAGGCGGCTGGCCGTTTAGCTTTCATAGCTACAGGTGATTGGAAGCCTTGCAATGAGATCTCTGCAGCTTTCAGCGTGCTCTTAAGCAGCAGAGCAGCATCTGACTGCCAAGTCCCCCCGAGGACGATTGCTTCCTCCCTCTGAGTCAGCTTCTCCAATGGGACTTCACGGGCATTTGGTCTTGCTCCGGCTGCTAGGTCCACACTCTCCACCAAAGCAGCAGCCTGCGTTCCATTCTCTGCCGCCGCTCCGAGGTTCAAGATTGACTCCCCTTTCTTTTCCATCTCTGCATCTTCCCTGAGTCTGTGTCTTCCTCCCAAGGTATAGGTAGGCGACCGGGGCTCAGAACCCCATAAGATATTGAATTTTGCAGTCTTGGGTTAATGTCATGGTTCCGATAGATGAGACCAGTAGAAATAAGAACTCTGAGGCAATTGCTTTCCTCAAAGAATACTTTTAATGGCTACATAGTATCGGCACGAACAAAGGTGAACCCAAGACTGAAAGTTCCCAGCCATCCCCCCCAAAAGTTACAAAGTAAAAGTTGAACTCCCCACTCCTACAGTTGTCATAAATCACAATCCCCAATTAACTACTTTGGCAGGGAGGAAAAAGAGAGAGGGAAGAAGCAGCTGTGGAAGGGGAGCCCAGCAGGCAGGGAGGAAAAAGAGAGAAGGAAGAAGCAGCTGTGGAAGGAGAGCCCAGCAGACAGGGAGGAAAAAGAGAGAAGAAGAAGAAGCTGTGGAAGGAGAGCCCAGCAGGCAGGGAGGAAAAAGAGAGAAGAGAGGAAGAGAGGTACAATGGCCGACCAGCCACCTGACCACCAAGGTAGTGGTGCATATTAATAAATATGGATAAATTCATCATACATTTGTCAGTGCAAAGGGAAAGTGATTCAGCAAAGGAACCACCACCGAAGAAATTAAAACTGGTATTTTTTTTTCTTTTTTTACGGTTTGTGACATTTTATTAGATTATAGAATAAACTACAAAAGCAAATAATAGGACACAGTGTGGAGGAAAAAGGGAAGGGAGGGGGAGAAGGGAAAAAGAAAAAAAAGGCATTGACTTCCAACTTCCTCTGTTGCAGTAGAATGAAGCATTAACATCGAACCTCAACTTTTTACTTTTCCATAATAGTATAAACTAGCCATTTCTATAACAACAAATGAATCTAATCAGTAAAACCCAAAATCCCCCCCTTTTTTTTAAAAAAAAGTCAAGTTTTGACACCTTGCTAAGTACTGGTGGTACTTGAATATTGTCACGTCTTAAAAGTGGTTCAGTCTGTGAAAAGGCTGAAAAGCCCTGTACTAGAAGACCTCCAAGGTCCCTTCCAGCTCTATTCTGATTGATTGACCTAACGTTCTAGAACTGTACTGCTCTCAAAACAATGTTATACATGTATTTTCAGGCTTTGTAAAAATATTTCTATCTGATTTTCTAGGTTTGGTATGCAAAGACTCCTCTAGGAAAAGCAAGAATCAAGTCACTGACAGAGAAGGAAGATACTGGAAAGGGGAAAGGGAAAGGGAAAGAAAGAGACGAGGGAAAAGGAAAGGATAAGGAAAAAAAGAAGGAAGGCAAAAAGACAAAAAAATAAAAATGTTCTTAATAGCCATCAGCTATAATATTATAATTTAAAGAAAAGCTTTTTCTTGGAATGCAAGTTTTCTATTTGATTCCAGTAAACAGATCATATGAAAAAGTATTCTTTGAAAAGCATAGGACAAAACATCAGTGTGACAATTAGTTCCTTCAAACCACTGCATTTTTCTTTTATTATTTAAGCTATTTTAAAGTTACTTAGATTTAGGTATGGTTTGTCAGTTTTAAAAATATAGTAATTGAAAATCTATCTACAAATGTTAGGCCACACATTTTACAGTATTTATGCTTATGAGCTTTTCCCAGTTAAAGTGTGACATATCTATTCAAATTAATCTATATATAGCTCAGAAATGGTTTATTTCTTCCTTTCCTGGTTGGACATGAGAACTATGTAATATCCTGTTGTTCCACTGGTAATCTGCATGTATCCTGCATGTATCCAGGTAGTTCAGAAGAAATAGGTCTTTGCTCAGTCCTACAGGGAGCTACAGCCTTATGCATAGAAGAAGACCATATATTTGTAACTCGCAACACTTGTAAAACACTGATTAATTACTGTTTTCCAATAAATTTTTTAGAATTCAAAAGATTTATTTTGCAGTTATTTTAAAATACTGTTAGCTACTGAGTGCCATTGGCCCTTGGATGAATTTTTCTGAGTGTGAATATATTTTCGGGTATACAGTATATGCACTGCTCAGGACTGGTGCACAACATAAGGGTCTTCCTGGACTCTCCATTCCTGATTAAAAGAGCTAGTGACAACTATGGCCATGAAAGTCTTGCACAGGTTCAGCTTGTGTACCAGTTGCACACATTTCTGGAACAAGAGACCCTCCTCACAATCTCTCATCTTCAAGCTGGATTATTACAGTGTGGTCCAGATGGGGCTGTCTTTAAAGATCACCCAGAAATTACAGCCAGAAATTACACCCAGAATGTTCAGGGCAAGCAGTGATGAGCATGCCCTTCTATGTGAACTGCATTGGTTGCCATTTGGGTTTGAGGGCACTTCAAGATGCTGATTATGATTTATAAAGTCCTACATTGCAATAGGGCCTACTATCTGAGGGACCATCTGTCTCTATTTGCTCCAGCACATTTGCTCCAGCTTGCTTCAGGTTCTGTCAATTAAATCAGGGCTCCCCAACCCCCGGGCTGTGGCTCACTACCGGGCTGTGGCCTGTTTCAAACCGGGTTGTGTGAGTGATGGGCAAGCATGCGAATGAAATTCCATTTGTGCAAGCAGTGAGCAAGCACATGAGTGGGAAGCTCCACTTAGGCAAGTAGTGGCCCCTTGGGCTTGCTCACAAAACTCCATTTGAATGGAGCTTAGCACGCAAGCACTCTTCGCTCACACATGCAAGCACAAGCACCCTCAGCTCACGAGAGTGGAGTTTTGAGCGCAAGTGTCCTCTACTCATGTGCAAAGTTCCATTTGCGTGAGTGGAGGGTGCATGCACCCATCTTCATACCAATGGAGCTGTGTGCTCATGTATGCGCCTACCACTCACACACACAGACACGTGCCAGGCCGCCAAGGTGGAAAGATTGGGAACCACTGAATTAAATGATGCTCTCTAATGGGATGCAGGAAGTGGACCTTCCCTTCTCCCACCTTTTGGAACAGCATCTCCTCTCGTATATTGCTTGTGTTCTATACCATGTTGTACATTGTTTTCAAATTTATGAAGCTGCCAGGGTTATTTGGAATTGGACAGCCTAGAAATTTGACAAATAAATGAATATTACACTTGACCTTAGACAAAAAGCAATAAATGTTTTCATATATTAGTGGTAATAGTATTAAACTGCTTGAATTATGGATTATGGTCAGAAAAAGTTTTTTTGAAGAATATTAGCTTTAGTTGCTTTGTGAAAGCAGATTTTTTGTAATCCAAATCATCCACTCTAGAAAAATGGAGTAAGTGTTCAGATACATGCTTAAAAAACTTGGATTTTTCTTGATCTGGGGTGTATAATCCCACCACAATAGATTTTATTCCCAATTTGCACAATTACATACCTGCCTTGATTTTCAGCACATAATAAATATGGATGTAGTTGGCGTTTTATATACAAAACTACTACAATAATTTTTTTCTTTGAGTTAGCATAAATAAATTCCAGGCCCAAGGTGCGTTATATGCTTTATATTAGTCTCTTTAATATGAGTTTTTTGCAAACAGTGTTCTAAAGGAGGTGCAGATATGATCTTGAAACTACTAAACCATATCATTCAAAGATCCTGGAGCACTGGGGAATTACCAGAGGACTAGAAAAGATCTGATGTGATTCTCATCTTCAAAAAGAAAAAAAGTGCATCCAGGAAACTACAGACCAATCAGCTTGACATCAATACCTGGGAAGATCCTGGAAAAGATAATCAAGCAGCACATTGTGGATAAGGGAAATGCTATGGACATAGTTTACTTAGACTTCAGCAAGGTATTTGACAAAGTAGACCACAGCCTGCTTCTTGGTAAGACAGAATAATGTGGGATAGACTACCACCAGATTCACAACTGCCTGACCAACCACACTTAGTAAGTAATTCTCAATAAAACTATATCTACATTGAATGAAGCATGCAATGGGTATTCAAGGTTCTATCATAGGTCCGATATTCTTCAATATCTTCATAGATGAGGGGGCAGAAGGGGAACCATTAAATTTGAGACAACACCAAGCTGGGGGAATGGCTAACTCTTTAGACAATGCACTCAAGATTCAGAAGGACCTTGACAGACTTGAACACTAGGCTCTGTCCAACAAAATGCAATTCGATGGTGACAAAAGTTGGGTCCTACACATAGGCAAGAAAAACCAAATGCACAGATATAGAATAGGTGGTACCTGGCTCAACAGTAGCAACTGTGAAAGGGATCTAGGTGTCCTAGTAGACTACCATTTAAGTATGACCCAGCAGTGTGTTGCAGCTGCCAAAAAGCTAAGACGGGTTGCATCAACAGATAGTTTCAAGATTATGTGAAGTGATAGTACTGCTTTATACTTTGCTGATAAAACCACATTTGGAATACTGCATCCAATTTTGGTCACCAAGATACAAAAAAGATGTTGAGACTCTATAAAGTGTGCAGAGAAGACCAACAAAGATGATAAGTGATCTGGAGGCTAAACCATATGATGAATAATTGCAGAAAAATATGTCTAACAAAGAGAAGGACTAGGGATGATATGATGGCAGTCTTCCAATACTTGAGGGGCTATCATAGGGAATTGACTTATTCTCTATGACAGGACAACAAGTAACAGTAACAGGTGGAAGAGTATTAAAGAGAGATCCAACCTAGAACTAAGGAGAAAGTTCCTGACAGAACATTTAATCAGTAGAATGACTTACCTTCAAAAGTTGTGAGTGCTCCATCAATGAAGGTTTTTCAAGAAAAGACTGGACAGCCATTTGTCTGGAATGGTGTCTGGTCTCGGAGGGTTGGACTAGAAGACCTCTAATGTCTCTTCCAACCCTATTATTCTATGTTCTAAAATACTAGGGACCATCTGCTCTGAAGGGTTTAAAGACTATTCTGATAGAAAACAGCAATTTTGAATTGAAACTGAAAAACATGGGTATGGTACATTTGCAATGGAGGGGGGAATAGGAAAATGTCATCAGTTCATGGCCTCAGGAAGTGGTGAATAGCCTCTGCTGGTAATATGCCAAGCAGATATATCCTTGCTCTGGGATACTCTATACTTACAGGCCAAATGGACCCTTGCAACAAGTATGATTACTGCATTTGCAGCTATAGTTGTTTTGTGGTTGAGTGAAATTAGTGTCTGGTCTACTTGTACAAGAGTGGTTGCCTTATTACAGCAGAGGAAAAAAGTTTTAATGCATGTCCCATTCCTTTTGTTCCTTGGAACAAGGTTAAGAATAAGGACACATTGAGTTCTGTATGCAGATGAATTCCATCTTGGCTTTTTATTTTATTTTTAATGTAAATTCTCCCAAACAAGACAGAGAAGCCCTGCATCAAGAAGCAGGACACAGTCTTGTCCTCTTTCCCAATAGTCGTCCTTTGTGAGCCACTCAAAACTTCAGTTGAGCATCTCAAAGCCCAATGAATTGCAGCCCTGAGCATTCCCTTCACAGACTCCTGAGTGGGCTCATTGTTTAAATGCCCATTAAGAACACCGAATATGCCTTTTTTTCTCAAACAAATACAAAACTCTCTAATATAAAGTGAAACTGACTGTTCTATTAATGTCCATCTTGCATCAGGAAGTTTATAAAAGGGTGGAAATTTTATAATTGACTTTTCTGCTAGTAGCAAATGTCACTTTTTCCTTGATCCTTCACAATTCACTAAGGTGTTTCATAAGCCTCCAAGGCTACCACCACAACAGTACTTACAAATTAGCACATTTTTTCGCTTTTCATTAAACACAATACAGAAATCTTGTCTTATTAGGGTTTCTCGCCTCATTATTGAAAGTACTAGTACTTTGGAACTTCTGGTAGCAAATTATAATGTGCTCAGCCAGTGTCTATTGTAAAATATGCACTTCAAAAACTATCACATACTTGTTCCTCTTTAAGCACTGGAAAAATTGAAGTGTATTCTGAAAAGCTTTATGGAGTCTGTCTAGCTTTGCAAATCATCGCCATGCTATGCCAGCTCCCTTTTATTTTCCACAGTCACTGTGCCATTGTTCTTTCAAAAATCAAAACGGATTCTTTCTTGCTGTGATGAAAAAATATTTAAGGTAACAGGCCATATGAAAACCCCAAATCATTTTGGGCTCTTCTCTTCTCTTTATATGCCTCATGCATTTCTGGCACTATGCTATCTCCTGAATTAACCACCTTGCCTAGTGAGTAGGCGATATTTCAGAAACTTCCCAAGGTGGAAACCTATAGTCTACTTTGATCTTCACCTGGAGGAAGGAAGGATGCAGATATTTCTGCAAAGATGGCATCAACATAGTAACCATAAGTCTGTCAGAACCATTGCAGCAGACAAATCA